GACGTAGGTTTCGTCGTCCATTACCACGCAGTCAAACTTCGTCAGCATCGTCGTGTACAGCCTCCGGGATCGCGCTTTGGCCGTCGTATTTTGTTTATCATCGTGATTTGGAGTCACTACCTTCTTGTAAGTCGATAGTCCGGCTCGTTTTTTGGCTCGATGCACGGTTGTAGACGATACACCCAGCTTATTTGCGGCATCTCGGAGAGAGAGGTTAGGGTTTCGCTTGAAACTACCGGCAACTCTCTTTGTCGTCTCAGCGGCTTTCGGTTTTCGATTTCCCCCCGATCCAGACTGTCGACAAACGTTCCCCAAACACTTTAATTACATTTGTAACGGTTGATTTGGCAACTTTTAGCGATTTTGCCAACTTTGCGTGCGAGTAGCTCGGATTTTCGCGATGCGCGAGCAAAATTTTGATACGCTGCTCTTCTTGCTTGGACGGCATTTTGACAACTGAAGAGTGAATTACAAAATCAAAATAGGAGCAACATTCTACACACACACACCTTCAAAATGAGGGGTGTTCAGGTTTTTTAAATGCAAAATTGAAAGAAATACGTCAAGTTGATATTGACCAAATTTTGACCGTATCACCCTTTATTCAGCTCTTAGATCACCCTCTCTCCCCAAACTATTGTGGATGAGAAAAAGAACTCATATTTGGTAAACTCTCGTGAGCTGCAATGCATAAGATATGAATAACAAACAAATCTAGAACGGGGCTTAAACATATAACATTTTCTAAGACTGATCATGATTAATATAGTATGAATAATGAGAATTGTATGAAGAAAAGACGATCCCAAAAGAAAGCTCCGTAGCAATAAAACTATTACTCTGTGCTAATATGAGTTATTTCAAAATGGGCATCCATACTCAGAAACTATACCCGACCTTAACAAACTGTACCGAAATCAGAACAGCTAAACTACTCGGCAAGATTTTGGCATTTCTATTTAATTGTATTAAGCTATCTCACAGAGACCAGACGTCCAAGTTCGATCAGAAACTTGTGTAAAGTTAAGTGGAAACGTTGCCGTTACGTAGCGCTAGCATCTCCTGATTTCCTCTATAAATTTATCACTTTCGACCAATTTGGTAAATTATCTGCTAAATTATCTGCTGAAAATTGCCACTTGGCGCTACCAGCACTTAGTGTCTATTGTAAGTTTTGCAACGCCAGCGCCATCATGTTGTCAAAGAGGATTTTTAAGTGGGGAAGTCGCCGTTAGTGGCGCTTAAGTCGAATAGGAATATTTACACAAGTTTTTAGAGAAATTTTTGAGCCTCAAAGTCTGTTCTCTGTGGCTATCTTATATCGAGCTCTTTTCAATAATTGCAACATGTGAATAATGCAGAACAAGTTTAAAATTGTTCTAGAGCCAAATTGGTTTTGAAGGAAGGTCAAACTACAAACGAACAGCTCAGCTGCTCTGCACCCTATGAAAATTATGCTTTCCCAATATGGTACATTCTCTCACTATAAACCTGTCATTTCTAGCCTATCTGAACTATTTAATAGCTGGAAACCATAACATGGGTTACGCTCCTCTCAAGCGGGCCCTCCGCATCCTATCTCTGTCTTATCTCAAATGCCAATGGTTTGAATGTATCAATATATACATTGGAAATGACGTTCAATCAAATAAACCCATACCCCACTCACTTGGCCAGGCTTTAGAATCGTCCAGTGGGCAGTGCTCTCTACACTACAAGTTCCCTTTCTTTCAAATTTACCCGAAATTTTATATTTTACCCCTTTGTTGATTTATAACAATGAAACATTAGGACAGAGCACGGATTTGAGGTTACTAGAGTATTAAATAATCTAGGTCCTATTTAGGAATATATCTGAAAAATCCAAATTTGGCCAACGCCCACTTTTAATGAAGTTCTATTGTTCTCAGAAACGCTAAATCTAGAGATCTTTGGGGAATTCCAGAGATCTTAAGGGGGGGAAGTCCCCGAAACTTTAGCCCAGACTATTGAATTGGTTTAAACATTTATAAGCGTGAGTTTAGACAAATTCAGGATAGTTCCATGAGATGCTTAAATAAAATCGAGAACCCTTAAGATGTTCCGAGAGATTCAGTATAGAGACCTTCAGACAATTTATGATAACTTCAGAAATATTTCAGAAACTTTACAGAATTCCAGAGAATTTCAGGGAAGTTTAACTGTGTTTACGAGAATTCCATTTATTTTAAAGCAAAACCGAGATCTTCCTTAGAGTTGAGAGTTTTAGGGAAGCTTCGAGAACATCAAGACGGCAAGACAGATGAGAGAACTAAAGGGGGCAGTTCAAATTCAAGGAAATTGCAGAAATCGAAATTTCCGGAAACTTCGGTTCGCTCAGAGCAATTTTCTCGAACGCAATACAAATTATATGAACATCCGGAAAATGTGAGAGTATTTCAAGGGTGTTATATCATGGAAATTTCAAGATCTAAAGAAAATTCGAAAATTTAGCTAAGTTGATTAGAGAACATCAACGAAGTTCCATTAATTAAAATAAAAAGGCGAGAAATTTTAGGAAGCACCGATATTTTCAATAAATTTCAGAGAAATTCTTAGAAATTTAGATATTTTTAGATTGTTTCATTATATTCAGTGAAGTTCCGAGTACTTTGAGGACGATCAGATAACATCAGAAAAATCACTTTACCTTAGGGAAATTAGCAGCGACTTACTAGGAATTTACTTAGAATTATGGGATATTCCGTGAATTCTATGATTGATCCAAAAACTTAAGAAGCTTCAGAGAATTATAAATATATATCAGAAAATTTACCGAAACATTTGATCAATTTAAATAAATTAAGATATTTATTGAAAATTACTTGCCGGGAAAATTAGTGATTTAAGGCAAAGTTCCGTGAGCGTTTATAAACTTTATTAAACTTAAGGGCAATTAAATCAATTTCAGTAAAATGATGGGTTTAAAAAAAACTAAGACAGGGCAGTCTAGAGAATTTAAAGAAAATTGAGAAATATTTTTGGCAGTTTTAAAAACATCAGGAAACTCTGGACTATTGAAGAAGTTATGAATTAGTTTCGATAATTTGAACTTCAGACAAGTCTTGAGAACTTCAGTGAAAATCATAGAACTGTATTAATTATTTAGAATGGGGAAGCCTAAAGAAGTTCCTGAAATTTCAGAATAACTTCGAAAAATTCACAGAAACATTTCGAGAACTTCAAAGTCTATGGAACTTAAGGGAAGATCCGAGAACTTTAGGAACTTTTATGGACATTTTGGGAGCATCTCAAATAAGTTTAGCAAAGCTCCAAAAACAAAGGGAATTTCAGGGGAGTTCAGTTCAATTAGTTTCTCTAAATTAGCGGGAAATTTCAAGAAGTTCTCAGATTTTCAGAGAACTTTAGAGATAACAAACAAGCTTAAGCATTTTTAGAACAGTTCAATTAAATTCATGAAAGTACAACAAAGATATTGATCTCGCTAATAAAATTCTAAACAAAAAAAAAACTGCAAGAAAGAACATATATCCTCAGAGCAGAGGTATTCCAGAGCAGGGAAATTACATAAATTTTAAAAAAGTTTCGAGAAGTTCAGTGAATTGTTAAAACTTTAGAGAAGATTCATGATCGTTAAAAAAATTGTGGGAACTTTAGGAAGTCCAAAAAAGTTCAGAGAAGTTAAAAAAAATATTGCGAGCATCAGGTTAGTTTCTCAAACTACAAAAGAATTTCAATGCAGTTTAATTAAATTCAGGAATATTTTGGGGACTGGGGAAATGGGGTAGTTAACCCTAGGTGTGTCTTTAAGAAGAGCTGAAATAAAAAAATATCTGACTTGAAACAATTTCAAAATTTATCCTGGTGTTCACGTTATATTGACATGAGTATAAAAATTACTTTTAAGAGCACATGTGATTGTAATTTTTGTAAAAATTACATGCTGCAACATATTTTTATTTTCTATGCTGCTTATAATTAGAGCTTAAAACTTGCCGAAAAAAGCATTATGCAAAGTACAGTCACCCCAGTACTATGGGCCACCCACAATTATGGGCTACTTCCATTTGATTAACATGCAGAACTGACTGACCCATAATAGTGACTAGCTGGCCCATAATACTGGGGTGACTGTAGTTAAATAAAAAAGTTGGGACTTATGTAGTTAAATAAAAAAGTTGGGACTTAAAGTGTTTGTCCGTTTCATAATATGAACAGGAACATCCAAACTCTGCCTGAAGAAAAAACTTCTAATATTTGAACATGTTTATCGACCGGTCATGTTTTTTGCTGTGCAAATTGTTGCACTACCAGGAAAAGAAGCTATTGAGACTTGAGAACAAATGTTAAACTAAATAATAAACAATTTCAGGCAAAAATCGTTGCAATCCTCAATTGCAACGATTAATTCCCTTTATATTCTGATAAGATTTAGTTTAAGATGACAATTGTCATACTGACATGCAGTTATAAAAAACCTGTTTAAAATTACGAAATTGCTAAAGCAGGAACAATGTAAAAACAATTAGGTATATATCATAACAATTAAGGCTGGTAAGTAACTTACTGTAGTAACTGGAGCACTGAAATGTAATTTAATTTAAATTTCAAACACTTCTTCTTCTTCACATTTCAAGCTTAATGCTTGTCACATTTTAGCTTATTGCGTGCTCTGAACCTAGTGTTCTAGATGCACTTCCATAGTTATTAATTGAAAGCTTTCGATGCCTGTACCATTTTTACATTATAGTAAAATTGTGTGGCAAGTACAATCATACTCTATGCCCAGGGAAGTCGAGAAATGTTTCAATCCGAAAAAATCCTAGGCCGGTCCGGGAATCTAACCCAATCATCTTCAGCATGGTCTTGCTTCGTAGCTGCGCCTTTACCGACTGAGCTAAAAGAGGCTGCACATGAATATAAAAAAATAGTTCTATCGATGTTATCCACCTAAGTCGTCCTTCGACAGTTAATAAATAAATTTCATCTTTCTCCTCTTTTTCGGTTTTCTCTTCTCACAGCCTTATCATAAACCACAGCTTGGAATCGGGAACGCAAATTCCCTACATCAACAAGGGCCGGGAGCTAGGATACGAAGTCCTGTTGACCAACACTAACGACAACTATCGAAAGGCTGCCGGTGGCGGCACGAAGGGCATCAAGGGTAGCCGGAGCCCTACCGAGCACGCCGTATCGGTATTCGAGAAGTACATCATACCCAGCGAACCGGATGCGGTTGCCATTGTGGCACACAGCTACGGTGGCGTTGTAACGGTGGAATTAGCACAAAAATTCCCCGAATTTTTCAAGCAGAAAGTATTTGCTGTCGGTTTCACCGATAGCGTGCACTCGTCTTCGTTGGTTCCCGAAGTGTTAATTGGGGTGCGTGAATCGATTAGGAGACAAATAAAAATCCCGATTTAATTATTAACGCTCATTTGCATTTCCCTTCCTGTTGCGTTTTCAGATCGGCCGCAACTGGGTAACCTCGAAGGAGCCACTCGACACGACGCTAACAATTTCCAAGCGCGACCTACCGCGGTACTCAGCAGGTGAGAGCACTAGAGCACGTGTTGCATGTTGGGTTCTGATTTGCATGCTTCGCTGATTGGCCATATTACAACGAATAAGTGCGTGCTTCAATCATCCATTTGTACCAGTAATGAAAAAGGCTAATCATGTTTGAAGTGCTATGATTCTCGTTGGGAAGGGGAAATATGCATGTAGGTAGTTTGATAACCATTATTTAATTTTTATATTTCACTTTCTAGGTCACATCAAGCATGAGATGACGTCGTACTCCTGCATGGATGCGTTATTTAAATTTTTCGAACAACGGTACGAACAGGTAAAGACTGACTCCGAATCCGGGCCGGATTTAAAGAAGCCGAAAAGCGAACTTTAACTGCCATCCCACACCTGATGTTCCGTCTCAGGAAGAAGAAAGAAAACATGACGTTGTAAAGTTTTGGTTGTCTGCGAATAAAATTAAGTCCAAGAAAGTACCTCCGCTGTTTATTGTTCTTATATACTTACTGCTCAAGTGTAAATTAAAGTATCTCTTAATCTTAATTCGATTTCGTCTTCTTGGCGGTCGCCCGAAAGAAACCAAGATCCTCTCGAGAAGTGATTCGATTCCGGAATGGCAGTTTATTTACACAACAATTATTCAAACTGCCGCTGTGGGGGCGGATGGGTGCTGCTTGTTTTGAGCTTGGGAGAGAGCTATCTTGATGATTTGCTCGTAGTAGAGCACGGTAAAGTAATGGCAGGACAAAGACAGCAGATCCTGGCGGAAAACCCATTATGGGAACACTATCCGGGTAAATTCCAACAAAAGGAATATAAAATGAGATCTTCTTCGGTGGTTAAATCTTCGCTTCGTTTGAGCGCTCCTTATCGGGATCGTTTTGTAACCCCCTTTTGTCAGTTTTGTGTAAAATTGAGAGTGTGGGAGAAATTTGCAAACTGTTACGCTGCTTTGCCTGAGCAGTTGAAGTGGGAGGGTGGTTTCTTTTGTAAATGGGTACAATCAACGGTCGGGGTGTATAATCTTGTTACCGCAATCAGTCCGGAGATTTATATTGGTAGTGCGAAAATAAAATAATATGCTTTTGTGGAGCAACAGATTTGTCTTGTTCTCTATCGTTTGTATAAATTCTGATTGCGGGTTGAGTGAAGTACCTACTTTCTGTTGGTGTACCTATCATACTGCCGCTATTCGCATGTCCGTCCCATAGCGAAAATCAGCAAGCCGAGAAAATCGTGTTTTATGTTTGCTTCGTACCATTGCTTCTTATGTGATGGAACAACTAATTTGACTGTCTTCTCAAACTTTTTCAGAACAAAGTTGTTGAGTTCATCCAGTATTGTGATTATCTACCATTTGCATTGAAAAAAACTCAGTTTTGACAAAAACAACTATGGGACCGACATGCGAAGAGCGGCAGCATAGTTCTGAAGTCAAGTTAATCATATTTGAAAAAAAGTTTTTTTTTTTTAATTTTTAAAACGAATAAACCTTTTTCAATAACATCGTTAGGAAGAAACAAATCAATACTTTTACTTTTGTCACAAAACAGTCGAGTCTTGCGAGGGGGGCAGGGAACAATAAAAAATAAATTCAAAAATTATACAACTTGAAACTAGGATTGAAACCACAACATAAAAGTATACTCAATCCTGTTTTACGCGATTCATTATATCGATTTTGCTTTTATCAGACCCCCTTCACTCTTTGGAATTTAAAGAGACAGATAACAGCGCCAATAGGTTTGTGACGATACAACGTTGAACTGCAGCGTTGGAAGAAAACACGCACACCATCATACATGTACGAACCCACACGACTGAGCGGAGGGTGCAGCCAAAGATATTTAATTAACAAGATATCAAAGATATTTAATTAACAAGATATCCCACTAATCAATTCCTCGAACAAGGCTATGGAAACACCACCCTTATGTGATCGCAGTGCCATCTAGTGAGTGCACATTTAAACTGGGTTATTTTTTGGTTCCGTGCAGCTTCAGTTTGCGATTTCATTCACCGTCATTGAAAAATATCTTCGTTATAAAATAGAACAGTAATCATTATTCCAACGTACTTTTAAATATCTAATAGTATGCAGCTGAGTACACGGAGAACAAATTTTAGCAGACACAATTATTTTTCCGGTCAAAATAACTATATTGTTCAATTGTTTTAGAGATAACCCGAAACTATAGTTGATTTGACTATATATAGAGGGCAACAACTATAGTCCATAGTTGGCTCCTCGGTTAGCTCAACTATATTTTTCAGTAGATGAACAAACGTCAAACTCCAAAATACAACTATGCTTTAGTTGATTCAAGAAAACTATTGTTAGGAAAGCAAAATTTTACAATGTTTATTAAACGAACTGCTCTTCATTATCGACATATCAAGGAGGTTTGTGTTGCTTCTTTATCGATCTCAAAAACACAACTGCAAAATCATAAAAAAGTGACCAAGAACATTCAACTTAGATTTGAACCGTGTTCATCTGCGTGAGAGCCAGCTATCTTATCGCCTGCTCTACGCATCACAAGTTAAAAGTATGTGGATTTATGATGATCACTTGAAACCATAGTATATAAATAAATTACATTTGGCGGTTGTTATAATTGATCAAAGTTATAGTTGAATTGAGTATAAGATGAACAGTTGAATCTATTAGGTAGATATGATTGAGTTGACGGTCAAATTAATGTTGAAATAACTATAGGTTTCTTTCAAACAACAATATTTTTCCATGTGAAAGTAACTATTAGGATTGTTATCTTAACTTAACGAATTTGTTCTCCGTGATATTACAAGCGAAAAGGCAGCAGAGGAATAGGGTAAACATTTAATTCGGCCTAATCGCCGATTTTCATCCTATCGAGCAGAAAAGAACAAATATAGGTATGATTTAGCACAGACAAACAGACGTAACACTTCATTGTGTATCTTCGTTCACGCATTTAACGGTTGATTTGAATATTATCAGCTCCGCGAACTATTCGCCGCAGCGCTGGCATCGGATCACTTTGACGTTTCTATGCATTCTATAGAACTTTTATGCAATATTGTTTTCCGCGAGAAGCCCGAGAGATGTCGTTACTGAGGTCATATGTTTTGAGATACTATGTTTTCAAGAAAAACTTTTTCAAAAAGTTACGTCTGTTTGTCTGTCGATTTAGTATGATACACTCAAAAATATTACAAAACAAATATAGATTAAATATAAAGCATTTTATGCTTTTTCAAAATTTATACATTGGTTCGATTAAAACTTCGTCAAAATTATACTAAGTCCGAATAACGGAGTGGAATTCGATCAGTGTTTACTAAAATGACAGGAAAAAGAACATTTGGATTCCCTTCGGAGCTTTGTCCCGGCGGAGAAATTGTATGTATTTTTTAAATAATATTCATAAAAAATAAACCAATTAAAAAAGCTTCCTGAGACAATTTTTATTTTCATTTGAAACAATAATATTTACCATAAATAAAATAAAGAAGCAAAAAATACATTCTCTCGAATAAACGGTACCTACACAGCAAAAAAAAAATGTAATATCGATCAATGTAATTCAAGCTGATGTATGAAATAATGATGTAATAGCAAAAAGCAGATACAATATTACATCAATGGATGTAATTTTGTTCGCAAAGTCGATGTACATCGTACAACGTTATATTACATAACCGATGGATTAACCTGGTTGCAGCAGTTTGAATGTAATATTCAACAACTTTTTTTTTTCTGTGTATGCATTGTAAGTATATTTCGATTTTATACATTTTTATACTAAGTTTGCATTCTCTCCCTTTATACCGACCTTTGCGTCGGTACGGAGAGTTGCGCAATATTTTTTGAGTGTACATTAGTTCAAAAGCTACAGCACAAAGCCTTTGTGAGCAAATAATGAATATGTACACCCTTTATTCTTAAAGACAAAAGAAGCACTCTAAGCGAATTCATTTGTACATCCCATTTGTATCTTCAACCCGAGCTTCCTCCGTATGACAAAATCAGAAGGCGTTCCTATACGTTTGTACGAAATGGAAACTCGTAGGTCGAATTTGGAATCAAGAAGCAGAATTGGAACAATTTCGGTATTTTTTAAGCTTTCAAGAAAGTATGCCAATATGAAATATTGGTTGCATATTTCTACCAAGAAAGACACGCAGCTCTCTGGGAGTTTTAGGATTAGGATATAGAAAACTTCATCATCACCTGGAGCTTTCATATTTTGAAACCTACTATTCACTTCAAGCTTACGTGTAGTGGCAATCTTTCAGGAATGTAGATTACTTGCTTTTGCAGATCAATGTGTGATACAAAAAAGAATAGTTGCTTATCATTTATTCATTATTAGACAATTTTAACTTGAACTTCCACGTTAGTGGCACCGGTGGTGTAATGGTAAGCGTGACAGAAGACCTGGGTTCAATCCCAGTCGGCGCCGCTGGAATGTTCTGAGGCATAACATCTCTGATCACGCCTTCCTTCGAAAGGGAAGTAAAGCCGTTGGTCCCCGGTTCATGAGTTGATGGGTCGATAGATAGTGTCCAGGTGTGGGAGCTGCCTTCCTGGCGTCGGTAGCATTGGTGCTCAGCACGGAAAACAAGATCGAAGGAAAACAAAAACTTCCAGGTTGCAAAAATAAAAAATAAAATACTTCAATCCGGAACAGCTTGGCTGAGGTTTCCTATTTTGATCAATAAATAGAATATCTTAAGAATTTGATACCTTACCAATTTTATGACCATGTCTCCACGTCTTTCCCTCTTACTGAGCGTAGTAATTTTGTCATCCCGACACGCTGTCATAAATCAATTTGGAAAACCAGTCATAAAGCCGAGGGAAAATCCCATTCTCGCGCTTGAGCAAAGCTAGTGTATGTTTTTTCATCTCTTATCCCACTAAACAGATGTAAAGTGCTTTGTTCTCCGCATGGTGGTGGTGCCTAGCTCGACGCATTGCACCGGTGCGGTGCGTAATGGCATTTAAATTTTTCTCATCCAGGGAAAATCCGACGGGGAAAAAATAATGGAAAACCATTTGGAACTCGGGAAGCCAAATGCTTCTAATCTGTTTATTTATTTACCTCTAAGTAAAAATCATACTTAAAATCTTAGCCAAAACAAAATGCGCCATCATCGTCAGCGTCTCGGTCTGAAGGTTCAGTAGCACCCCATATGGTGGTGGAACCTCAAAAAATCCGCTGACCCCGAAAGTAACCCCTAGCAGCGTTATTAAGACACACCGAGCAAATCCCGATATTAATTTTAGAAAAAGAAAAGAAACCAGCGTGCGCGCGTCTTCTAAACGGATCACATGCTCTCCAACAGAACATGAGAGTAGACGAGGGGAAGTATGAGAGGAAAAATCATAAACGCCTGTTTTTATCTGAAATTAGACGACGGGCCAAAGTGAAAACACTCCCAGTGCTTGGATGCTGATTTTTGACATTTTTGTACGCTAATGCCAGGA